GGGAGATGTCGGACAGGGCAAGATATGACAAAATAATAATTTATAAATTATCAAGGGCTCATGAGGAAGGGGGGAGCGGGGAGGGAGGGTGAAAAATGAGGAGCTGATGCCAGAGGCTTACGTAGAGAGCAAATATTTTGAGAATGATAAGGGCAATGAATGTACAAATGTGCTTTACACAATTGATGTATGTATGGATTGTGATGAGTTGTATGAGCTCCTAATAAAACAATATATAAAACACAGTGACAGTATTTCGTTGTCTAACAAAAAATAAACTTAGAAATATAAAAGTCTAGTGAAATTTATTCATACCAAGACACAATTAGTTAAATAATCCCCACAGTTAAAGTTAGCTACCATTTTTAAGTGTTTCTTGTAGAAAGGTAGATGCAGGGCAACAAATGTGGAGGGGCTGTCTACCTAGGCGGGGGAAGAAGCATTGGGCTGTAAAGCAAACTATGTCAGCCTCTTAACTTGGCCTAGGGTAGCCCACTGATATTGACCCAGGGCTATGTATTTTACATGACATATTTGACACACATTCATTCTTACATATACACTGACTTTAAGAGAACTGTCACTGGCCTAGGACACATATGAAGGTTCTTTTATATGATATATAAACTCTGGATTGATTTAATGTCTGACTTCATCATAAGAGCAATTTGGATTCCAAGATTAATCACTCAAGGTAGATGTAGCTGAGCACACTTGAGTTACACCCACACAGAACTACACTACAGGCTTCCCTTTCAGAATGTGTGCTCTCTTCAAAGCAAAGTAGTCTACATCTCAATGCTCTGGTTATGGGGCAGCTTTTGCAAGACTGTAAGAGAACTTCGATAATACAGTCCAACTCATGTCAAGTCGGGCAGCTCCAGTCAGACATGCCCTACACAGGGCTGCGCACAAAGTCAAATAAATGATAGTCGAAAATTCTTAAAATTAATGATTTGAGAATTCAAAAAAAAGAAAGGTCTAGTCATAATAACAAAAATAAGAAAATCCTTAGGAATAAACTTAACAACTGAAATGGAATAAATAAAATAAAATAAAATAATAAAAACTATAAGACACTGTTGAGAGAAAATATTTCTAAATAAATGGACACACAATATTCATCATCTGGAAGTAAGAGATGATTTTTTTTTTTAGGGACATGATATTTTTAAGATATCAATCCTTTCCAAACTGATCTATATATAGTCAACACAATCCCTTTCAAAATCTCAGCAGGCTATTTTGTAGAGTGATAGTCTTATTGAACTCACATGAAAACTTAAAGAACTTGAAACAACCAAAAAAATTGAAAAGCAAGGCTAGAGAACTAAAACAAATTTTTTTAATTAAAAATTCTATAAATGCTGCAGACTCTTGCTGTCATCTCAAAATCAAACAATAGTTTGGCTTAACTAGTAAATAACGTCTGTTTTGAGCATTGTGCCCTTTTATGATTTACATACATAAATGTTCTTAGTAAGACCAAATTGATATCTACAACCCAAAAGTTGAGAAAAGAAACAGAGAGGGCAGCAAGTTGACACGAATAGGGGATAAACAACTCCAAAATGCAGGGTAAGAATGGATACAGAACTCAGTGAAGGTACTCAGTGTCACTGAATTGTGCTGCATTGAAGTGCTGAATTTTGAGGGGAGTACGGAGTGGAGACCCAACGCCCATCTGTAGGCAACTGGACATCCCTTTATAGAAGGATCACGGGGAGGAGACAAGCCAGTCAGGGTGCAGTATAGCACCGATGAAACATAAAACTTTCCTCTAGTTCTTTAATGCTTCCTCCCCACCCACCACCCTACTATCATGATCCCAATTCTACCTTTTAAATCCGGCTAGACCAGAGGATGTACACTGGTACAGATCAGAGTTGGAAACACAGGGAATCCAAGACAGATAAACTCCTCAGGACCAATAATGAGAGTAGAGATACCAGGAGGGTAAGGAGAAGGTGGGGGAGAACGGGGGAACTGATTACAAGGATCTACATAGAACCTCCTCCCTAGGGAATGGGCAACAGAAAAGTGGGTGAAGGGAGACATCGGTCAGTGTAAGACATGACAAAATAATAATTTGTGAATTATCAGGGTTCATGAGGGAGGGAGAGTCGAGGAGGGAAGGGAAAAAAATGAGGAGCTGATACCAAGGCTCAAGTAGAAAGCAAATGCTTTGAGAATGATGATGGCAACAAATGTACAAATGTGCTTGACACAATAGATGTATGTATGGATTGTGATAAGAGTTGTATGAGCCCCCAATAAAATGATTTAAAATAAATAAATAAAAGTAAATAAACAAATGTAAAAAAAGCGTTGAATTTATGCATGTTCTAGTGTACACAGTCTCAACAAAAAGACATTATTTTTTAAAAGCTGCAGAAATCAAGACCAATAAGGCTAGACAAAGAAATTATTGACATCTATATCAACTGATTTTTAATAAAGGCAATTCAAGGGGAAAATGATAATCTTTTCAGCAAATAAGAGACACTGAGACAGCTGGATATTAATGTGTAAAATAAAATTAACTCAAAATTCAAAACTTCTCAAGGAAAATCTTTATGACCTTAGGTTAATTAACATTTCTCTTTTTTTTTTGGCTATCAAACAAAATCATGATCCAGGGGAGAAAAATCTTATTTTTTTAACCATCTTATTGGAGGCTCATACAACTCGTATCACAATCCATTCATAGATCAATTGTATGAAGCACATTCGTACATTCGTTATGCTCAACATTCTCAAAACATCTGCTCTCCACGTAAGCCCCTGGCACCAGCTCCTCATTTTTCCCCCTACCTCCCTGTTCCCCCCTCCCTCATGAACCCTTGGTAATTTATAAATTATTATCTTGTCATGTCTTACTCTTTCTGACGTTTCCCTTCACCCACTTTTTTGTTGTCTGTCCTCCAGGGAGGAGGTTATATGTAGATCCTTATAATCGGTTCCCTCTCTCTACTCTACCGAAAAAAAATCTTACACAAAAATATTAAACTTTTATTCTTCAACACCATTAAGAAAGTGAGAAGACAAGCCATAGATTAATTATAGTTCAATCAGATAAACAGATCAATTAAAAATAGGCAAAAGATCTG